GCCTGAGATGCCCTAGGTGTTTATACTTATGATATGGTATGAATAAGGATACAGCTCTAGGAACATGGTCTAAAGTTCTCATCACCCTATCTCTCTTCAAGTGAGTTACACCTTCTGCTGGTTTTTTAGTGTAACTCACTCTGAAACTGCAATCATGGTATTTATCTGCATCCAATGCTAAATGCTTGCAGTGCTCCTTGGGAGCCTGTGATAGAAGGAGAAACATCTGTGGGGTTTATATATATATGTACATATGTACGTATACACACACTGAACCTTCTGATGTTTTAGACATCATTACTTAGTGCTGCACAGCCAGAAACAGATTTGCACCAATACTGCTCTGTCACCTGGTATGCCTTGCACATGTGAATAGCTCAGGCATCTGCCCAGAAGGCTCTGGCCAGCCTATCTCCTGTTCAGCTCCAAGCTGAAAAGGTCCCTTGTTTTAGAAGAAGACAAGCCAGCAGCATGTTTCTGCAGTGGCCTTTTAGGATGCAGAGTAAGAGATAAGAGACAGGGAAGTCATTCCCTGGGATCTGGCCCCTGCCCAAGTAGAGGGCGTTCTCAACATTGATAAGATCAAGGCAAGAGCACAAGAGGTTTATGTTCCAATTTAAAATTCTTATTTTTACATAGCAGAAAACATCTCTCTGATCAGCCAGGTTATCAGATTGGCCTTGAAATCCTTCCTTCCTTTCTGCCAGCCCCAACAAGATCCTTGAGACACAACTGGTAAGCCCCTGGGTGTCTTCTACCCACCTACTGCTGTTAAGACAAGCTCAGCTCCACTAATCCCATTCAGAGACTGCATGTAGAAGTTTGTCAAGGAAGAACAGAAACAGGAATAAATGACAGACCAGGGACCAGGTCTGTACACTCACACTGCCCAGCTCATGTGCCACACACACACAGGCCAACACCTGCCCCTGACCTTGCAGTGGCATGTGCTTTGTACAAATCCATAGTTCATGTACATGCTGTCACCTCTAATTTATCTCTGCTCACTTGCCCACAGGGGATGATTCTTCTGTTCCATTATCTCTTAATCCGTGGGAACAGAAGCAAGATTTTTTTTCTTTTTAATATTATTTGCTCTTCACAGTAGGCTGCCACCTCTCACAGCTGCTATTCCTGAAAACATTTCAAACTGAGCTGCTGCACATTAGAAAAGGTAACCAGCCTCTCTTCCATAACTGTTAGGTTCTTAGAGTAGTCACATCACTATCCCATCATCCCACTTAAGAACCACTGCGTGAGGGGAAAGGCTTTGGCTGATCACCACCTGAGCTGGCCCTTGGGAAACTTAAGCATAGGAAACAAGAGCAAGGTGACACCTCAGTGTTAAAACTGCAACCTGCTTAACAGCAGCAGGTCACATGCTTAAGAAAGACCACCAAGGACCACAAACCAGAGGCTGTAGCTGTGTTTCCATGCCAGAGGGCAAAGACACTGCCCCCTCCATCTCACCTTCCCATGGGAGACTCTTCCAGCAGAAGACAGAGGAAGGAATAGCTGTAATGATGCATGAGAAAACAACATCTTGCACCCTGACACACCAGCAAAGCCCCAAGATGTCAAGGCAACCAAAGTATTAGCCAGGAGAGATTTTTAAAAGCAGGCATCATCTCACAACCACATGAGATATTGATCTCAGCAAGAACAGGATGAAAATGCTTTACTGCTGATGCTATTAGAAGGTCACTGTGATCATTGTCCTCACACAAGATGGAATAAGCACCATCCTTTCTCCTACAAGTTAGTCAGCAGCAGAAAAACGGAAGAAATCAAGGATCCTTGGTTCAAATCCCTGGCACAAGCCACTAGATATCCTGCCTGCTCCTCAGATCAGTTCACACTGCCTGTTCATCCAGCTGTAGTCTCTCTGGATATCTGTGACCATCTCAGTTCAGAAAGAGACACTACCTGATCTGAAACAGGAACACTTGTGCATCAGTGCTGCAGTGACACAAGCAAAGGGGTTCACATGGTGATGTTTCCTGTTCAGACACACAGACAGCTGCCTGGTTCCTCCTGCAAGAGCTCATCACTCATCGCTATGAGATCTGTCTTCATTTCTTCTACCCTCACCACAATGGGCAGGTTCCAACAATGAACCTGTGCCACCAGACCCTCAGCAACACAGAGCCAAGACTCTCACCTTGCCTCCTGCTATCACTCTTGCCAAAATGCCACATTCAGTAGGGCCTTAGAATAGCCCTTCCAATAGAACTTAGGTCCCTAGTGTGCTCTGACTCCATTACTGAATGCTGGACAAGACCCAGAAATCACAGAAAGGTTGAGGTTGCTCTAGAGATAGCCGAGTTCAAACCCCCTCCTATGAGCAGGGTCAGCAGGAGCCTGTTGCCCAGGACTGCATCCTGGCACACCATGGCTCTTTCCATGGACAGAGATTCCACAATTTCCCTGGGCAACCTGAGTATCTTACATTTCTACTTGTGCCCATTACCTCTTTTTCTGCTGCTGGCAACACAGAGAAGGAATACCATGCCAAGCATGTCCTGCTGGCTGGATTGAGGTTCCCCTTTATATTATGAGAGCATGGCACTGTGTTTCAGAAGTATTGACCTCTCTCAGCTGTTTCCAGAGCTGAGGCACTTCAGCAAAGAGTTCTGCCAGGGACCTGCTGCTTCCTTTCTCAGCTGCATACACAAAAGTGGGCATTCACAATCCCTTGAAAAATGGAGGCAAAAATGCACCTTTACTAAACAGCTCTGCCACCACAACAGACCAGCAAGAGGCTGTGAAGCATCACATGCTATTACCATGGAAGCCACAAGTGCCTCAGGTGGAGAGGCACTGCCCCAGCTTGGCAAGGCTGGCCAGAGAAGAGTGGATTTTGTGCCATCTGTCAGAAAAGTGTGCTCCCAGTTTCTGCTGTTTATTTTACTGCAAGCTGACGTGGGCTCAAGGAGCAAAAGGATAATTCTCCTTTCAGATTCTCCAGGGGCACAATAGTAAGCCACAATAATGAGCTTAAGGTGTCAGGAAACCACCTCACCAAGGCATCACTGAAACCCAAGGGACTGGAGAACCATCACCAAGCACCACTGGAAATAGCTGGTGTCCAGGGACAGATACCCAGAAACAACCCAGTGAAAGAGCACAGGGCAGGCATAAAGGAAGGTGATAAACAAGATGTGCTAAAACATTGCACCAGGATTAGACAGCTGGTGGGTCTGAAGGACAGGCACAGCCTGGGGAGAGCTCGTGGGGCACAGAAGGACACAACTATATTGAAAACAATCCAGGCAGAAGCACATGAGAATACACAAAAAATCAAGATTAATTGTGCAATCAGAAGTACTGGGTCACTGTGCGGCTGCTGGAAGACAGGACTGAAGAGCCCTGACAGAAAGTGTTTGAGAAGTCAGAAAAATACCACCCCCAGGTGTGCACCAGACTCCAGCCAGCTCTACCTGCTCCTCCTTCTCCTCTCAGACACCAAATTCATTTCCAGAGCACTGATGGGCAAGGACATCCAACAACATACTTATCAACTGCAGCACTTCTGGGTACACAAAGGCAGCGTTCCTATTGCCTGCTGGGCCAGGTAAAAACCTTGAAAGGATCCTGGTCTGTCATTCATCCCTCTTGCAAGGCTATAAGAAACACTGCAGTGAAAACAGCAGCTCCATCACAAAGAATATTTGCTTTCTTCCCCCTAATCTTTTTTTTGCCTGTGTATCACAAACATGGAAGATCAGGTACACCTGCTTTGGTGACAACATGCAAGATCACAAACAAACAGAATCTTAGAATGTTTTGGGTTGGAAGGGACCTTCAAGATCATCTAGTTCCAACACCCTGCCATGACAAGGACACCTTCTACTTGACCAAATTGCTGAGAACTCCATCCAACCTGGCCACAATTTCTCTGTTCCAGTGCATCCATCACCCTCACTGTAAAGAATTTATTCACAAAATCTAATTGAAATCTACTGTCCTTCAGCTTAAAGCCACTCCCCTTTGTTCTATCACTACACACTCCTGTGAAAAGTCCCTCTCCAGCTCCCTTGTACCCTTCCAGTACCTTTTGGGTAGGAAGGTGATACAAGGTCTCCTAGGAGTCTTTATCTTCTCCAGGCAGAGCAGCCCCTGCTTTCTCAGCCTTTGTAGGGAAGATGCTGCAGTCCTCTTAACAGCTTCACAGCCATCCTCTGGACTTGCTCCAACAGTTACTTGTCTTTCTTTGTTCAGGGACTCCAGAGCTGGATGCAGCATGCCAGGTGGGGTCTCACCAGCGCAGAGAAGAGGGGGAGAATGACCTCTCTCAACCTACTTGTCACATTTCTCTTGGATTCAGCCCAGGATATATCTCCCACATGATCATACAGCACAGACCAAAAGAAATACAAGGTACCCACAAAGGAAGCAGGGCTGGCTGATGAGTCCAGGAATGTGCTGCTAAAGACAAAACTCTCAGAGGTGCAGGTAACAAAATCTACAAGGATGAGACTTGAACATATCTGATAGGGATGCAGGCTGTCAAACACAGAGGGGCTCAGGACACTGCAGCTTCATCCCAGCTACAAAGTCATCCAAGCAATGCAGCTCTCAGCTGTCATCACCCAGTCCCATATCCCACCTGGTTCTGCAAACATTAGTGCATCATGCAGGTACATCCCTTTTCTGCTCTCACCCCTACCAAACACCACTTGGTCAAGAAGGATCCAGATGACACCCTACCAGACAGCTATGCTGTATGAGCTCACAGCATAGGATGTAGATTTTGACACCAAGGAATTTTTGAAACCATGGTCTCCAAAATGGAAAAGACAATGTATTATTAGCCTTGTCAGCACCTAGCCTAAATTGCAACTACATGCTATACCCCATGCTGGCAACTTTTGTTATGCAGCTGATCAAGCCACAAGAAATGTCCAGAAATTATCTTCTGGACACAGATGTTCAGTGAGAACCACCACATTAGTATATGTGGAAAGATGAAGGAACTGCACCAGAAAAGGGCAACTTACACGAATTTTAATTACTCTAGTCTTCGCTCCACAATTCTTCTTGAGCAGCATCTTCTGAAAGAGAAGTAGAATCCAGGGATTAGTAGAAATAGCATGAATGAACAGAAAGAGGGATATTGTAAGGAGTCCCTTTCAATCAACACTTCATTAAAACAAGATGGATGGATGGATGGTTAAGTGGGATATGAAAGATTAAGAATTACCAAAGGTGGCCAGCAAGTAAGTCAACCTAATCTGAGACTGTCTCACACAGCCTGCATAGAGTGCTCTGGCCTAGGCTTTGAAAGAACATACAAGAAATTTCACAAGGAAAAAGACAGAACAACTGCCTGAAAGGAAATTTCTTCTTAATTTCCATCAATTAGTGGTTAAACTTTGCCCTGAAGCAGGTGAATTTATCTACCTTTAAAAAGGAAAATATGGTCTATTTAATGTAAATGTGGATGTTCCCATTATTAAACAGATATTTTCATTATGCTTATTTATTTACAATGAAAAAAAAAGGCAAAAAGCACCTGCCTGCAGTTCTAAATCTCCTTGCCATATACTGCAAGAGTCATTAAAGTTGTCATAACATGAACCACACAACTTAGCAAACAGGATATACTTGAACCAGCAATTATTCTGGGAAATTACAGAAATAAACAGGTGAGTTGAAGTTCAATCCCAGTTTTGAGGCAGTGTTTTGAAAGCTGGCAAGTGAATAAAATCATTCTTTCCCCTCAAAAAATTGTCACGAAACAACTCCCAAGTGGAAAAACAAGGCTTCAAGAGAACAGTTCTTTCATTTTAAAAAAATATTTTAACTGTATTTTTCATACTGAAATACCTGGTGAGGGAAGCATGTCAGGAAGAATCTTCTCCATCAGCTTTTGAAAGAAATAAAAGATTTTCCTCGCTTCTGTTTTTAACACTTCTCCGGTTGGAAAGCTGTGTGAAGTATGGGAAAGCACTCCCCACAGCCACATGCTTTTACAAAGCAACTGAAGTGTTTTTCAGATGAAGCTCTTAAAGGCTGTAGAAAGACATCCCACCACTTTACCAACATGTGTGGGAAATAGTGAGACCTTTCTATTTTCTCTTTTTGTTTGTTTGTTATCCTTCTGCTTTCTCTAGCACAGAGCAAGATAAAAAGCAACACAGTACAGGGAGTCTTGGAAACTCAAAAAGCTTTAAAAAATCCAAAACATACAAACAACCTCCAAAAAATTCAGAAGAAAAAGCACCACCCCAAAACTGAAGTCAGTGCTTAGGTGAAAGTATTTATTATTTTTCCAGTAGAAAGTACTGCTGGGAGGTGGGAAGTATTTCCATTCCTCCACCACCCTCTGTCACTCCACATCCCATAAGCACGTCTTTGCAGTCCCAATCCACATTACCGCCCAGAACTTGGAGAGGGAGTTAGAGATCCACCCAGCATTTCTAAGCACATCAGCCTCTTTGATCTAAAATCCAGAACTTGGCACACACACGCCCCACTTTGAAACTTTCACATGAATAGTTTGGGGCTCAAGGACAGTATTTTATTATCCAAGCATGCATGGGGGAAAAAGGGAGGTGCTGCAAGGATTTTGAGCTTTTTCCTGTTAATCCTTTAGCAGGTGAATCCTACTGCTGTCTCCATTATTCAAAGGACTCAACAGCAGCCATGCCTGACTGCTCTGGTCCCAGGTCTGACCTGGCAGCACAGCTCCAAGGTTTCTAACCCAAAAAGATCCAACAGCTTTTTGTACAAACCAGGCAGGCGACAAAGGGAACTGCTGAACTGAACTAGCCCAGCCCACAGCGGTCCAACTAAACAAGGAATCCTGGGAATTCATATAAAATATTGCAGGACTCAGCTCCCAGCCAGGCTGCAAGGCACTATGGTAAGGCTCTGAGTTTTCTTTCTTCTGCCTTTCTTAAGGCTCTCTTCCTTAAGAGAAGGAAGGAGACCTTGGTAGGGCTGACAAAACCCAGATGGCAAGGAAAGGCAAAGTGAGGAGCTGAAAGGTCTTGCAAAGTTTTGGTCTCTCCTTCAGTTTTTCTCCCAGGTGATGGAAATGTTGGCTGGTGAGATGAGGAAGGGTAGGCTAGATAGCTCAAGTCACAGGTGGGATAAAATGTGCAAGACAATGTCAGGTTGAGCAATGACAATTAGAATAAGGATTCATGATTTTGAGCCCCATCCTTTAGGGGAAGAAGGCTGTTAGAGCAGAACATACCCTGCTGCATCCCATATGACTTCAAGCTTTTTGACTTTGAGTGAGACCCTCAGCTTCCCAAGGCTACTGTAAAGCCGAGCTTTATAGTGATACTTGGCTGAACTGCCAGGATGAAGTGAGGCTGACACAAAATTCTACATTGCCTCAGTGGCACCACTGAATCCTCTGCTGGAAGGGGAAAAACAGAGCTCTGCTGGCCAAGGAGCAAGTAAAACACCTTCCAGTACAGTCCAGTGGGATTAAATAGCATGGTCCCCCAATGAAGTCAAAGGTGCAATAAAAGACTATTTCCCAACTAAAATCAGCAGAGGCAGCAAGATATTTACCCATCCTGGCCTTATATTAAAACATACAGGGAGGATCAGCAAAGACAGAAATTACAAGATGACACCAAAGAGTGAATGAAAGCTTTGAGCTGTAGGTAGATGGAACAACCAGCCAGACTCTTCCAAGAGAAATTCAAGTGCTCAGCTGTATCCCAAGCCCTACTCTTCTGGCAGAAAAAAGAAGTATTCTTTTAGTGATGTTGTTGTGATAAGCTTTAATTATACAAGAATCTTACCACTAGTTATGCTACTGCTATGGTTTGCAAAGGTCTCATTGTGCCGCAAGAACAAGACACCCTACATCATTTTTGTTCCTCTTGTGTTTCCTCTTTGCTCCTGGTGCTCCTCTTGATGGACTAAGTAGAAAAATAAAAACATGACATCCCCTAATCCACAGGCTGTTAAACTGGAGCACAGACCTCAGCATCTGAAGCTCCCTGGAGCTCTCTTATTTCCACTTAGACTGAAAGCAGAGCAATACCACTTGTGCTGCACTCTCACAGCTTCCAGATCCTACATCATAGTAAAATCTGAAACAAAGAGCTGGAGAGAGAGAGCAAGCCAGCCACATGATCCTGCGGATGAGAATGAATACAGGGAAGGCGAGTTATCAAACGTTATTCTATTTAATCAAATTGCTTCCACCTCACTTGCAGCCACGCACTTTCTGCACCCCGCACACCAGAGTCATGCTTTAGAAAAAGTAAGTCAAGGCATCTTTGAATGGTTTTCCATCCCTCAGCCTTCCCTCTTCTTGCCAAACCTGAGCGCAGACTTTCAGACAGGGAAGCTAAAATGCAGTGCTGCCTAGCAACAGCCAGGGACTTTCCATGGCAGCCTCTCCTCATCCTCCCTCCAGAGACCTCCACGTCACAAGCCAACCACGAGATGCAGCAACTCATTAACTCCTATTTACACAGATACAAGGCAGAGCTGAAATAACATTCATTTGGCTACATGACTTGCAGTAGCCTAAAGCAGGGGAAACAGCCTATAAGAAGGTGACATATTCAATTTAGTAACCCTGGGATCATTCCTAACTACCACACCAATGTGAAAGTGCAGTTTTATTTCCGCAAGCTATTTTCTGGGAGTTATGACAATGAGCAGAGCAGAGATTTGTCAAAGGTCACGGAGGATATTAGTAGCAGAGCTGAGAATTAAACCATAGGGTATGGTTTCCAAAACTTTCTTCCACCTGCAGAAAAAGAAAAGGAAGAAAAAGAGACAGTGTCCCTATTTCAATTAAAAAGTCCTTCCTGCAGGTCTCTGACAGAACTGCTACCATCAGAGCTGAAAAGTATAGCTTGGGAGCACTATTATTTGCAGGAAGGGAAGTTTATTTTGCTATCTACTGTGACTTCTACAAAAAGGAGGAAATGACATGACTAAGGAAATGTCAAAGCCTTTTTGAGGACACAAGAGCTATGTCTCACTCTAAAAGCAAAGCTAAATTGAAACACTTCAGGGTTAACCCTCCAGAAAACAGCAGAATCAGCTCAGCCCAAGAACCTGCCCACAAACCTCACCTCCTGCTCATAACCCAGAGACTCTCTCAGTCCTGAGCCTGGATTCAAAAGAAAGTTGCAGGGACTGGAAGTAACAGAATCCCATATTCACCGAATGAAATGTAATGAACCCCTGATCTGCCACATGTGGCTCTGCTGCACATCACTGCCACATCCAAATACCCCCATTAGAGCAGAGATGGGGCAGCAGCCCTGCTTCTCCTGGAGCACAGCTCTCCAGTCCAGCCTTGCTCCAGGAAATACCTCCAACTGCTTAAGCAGCAGCGCTCCAAGTCCTGCAACACCGACCAGAGCAGTTCTGAACTAACCCAGAAGGAAATGGTGAATGCCTGCACTTGCTTACGCAGGCAAAAGCTACCACAGAACTATTCTATACAAACTGCACAGCCCAGATGACTAATATATATTAACAATCAAATTACAGGCATCCTTAATGCAAGATCACTCAACTGATGAGTGATCAACCCCAAGATGAATGAATTTATGTCACACTGCCGCAACAGTTCAAAACTAAGTATTTAAAACTCTGTCAATTCACAGTTTAAAGACAGGCATCACAATTTAATTTTCAAATGTTTAAGAGTTTGAACAAACTCTCAAACCAGCATACAGTGCAAAATATTTTACATTAATAGATATCAATAAACACTTTTCATCTTACATCTGCTTTTTATATACACAATTCTGGTTTTAGAATAGTTTCATTTTCACTACCTCCACAAGACAAAACAACTCTTTTGTTCATTAGTGTTGCAGAGAGGTGTAAATTGCTATTATTTATTATCTGGCCACAGTTTTAAACGTAGGGGCCTGTCCAGAGTTGGATGCAGTTCAATTTTCTCAGACTAGTTTAGCCTATTTCAAGCAAAAGAGCACAGGAACTCTCAATTTCTCAACATAACTCATCATTTAATGACACACTTCATCAAATGCTACATACTGATACAGAATCAGCTTGTTCCAATATAAGAATGCTGCAGGGATTTTCACTTGCT